AAAAAGGTAATCCATCATGATCAAGTAGGCTTTATCCCTGGGGTGCATATGCAAATAAAAAAATCAGACTAAAAACAAAAAACACATGATTATCTCAATAGATGCAGAAAGGGCTTTCAATAAAATTTAACATCTCTTTATACTAAAAATCCTCAGCTAACCAAGCATTGCAAGACATACCTCAAAATAATAAGAGCCATCTATGATAAACCCACAGCCAACATCATACTAAATGGGCAAAAGCTGGACACATTCCTCTTGAAAACCGGAACAAGACAAAGATGCCCTCGCTCACCACTCCTACTCAATATAGTACTGGAAGTCCTGGCCAGAGCAATCAGGCAAGATAAAAAATAAAAGGCATACAAATAAGAGAGGAAGTCAAAATATCCATATTTGCAGATGATATGATTCTGTACCTACAAAATCCCATAGTCTCTGCTCAAAAACTAGTTGATCTGGTAAACAATTTCAGCACAGTTTCAGAATACAAAATAAATGTACAAATATTAGTAACATTCCTACACATTAACAACATCCAAGCTCAGAGCCCAGTCAAGAATGCAATCCTATTCATTATAGCCCCAAAAAGAATAAAATACCTAGCAATATAGCTAACCAGAAAGGTAAAAGATCTCTACAATGAGAATTACAAAACACTTTCCAAAGAAATCAGAGATGACACACACAAATGGAAAAATGTCCCATGCTTATAGACAGGAAGAATCAATATTGTTTAAATGGCCATACTGCCCATCACAATTTATAGATTTAATGCTATTCCTATCAAACCATCAATGACTTTCTTCACAAAATTAGAGAAAACTATTTAAAAATTCATAGGAAACCAAACACTTTTCAAAAGCTACACATGCAGGCAATAAGCATATGAAAAAATGCTCAACATCACTCATTATTAGAGAAATGCAAATCAAAACCGCAAGATGCTGTTTCACACAAGTCAGAATAGCTATTATTAAAAAGTGAAAAAAATAGCAGATGCTGATGAGGTTGCAGAAAAAAGTGAATGCATATACACTCACTGCTGATGGGAATGTAAGTTACTTCAGCCATTGTGAAAACAGTTTGGTAATTTCTCAATGAGCTCAAAGTGAATTACCATTCAATGCAGCAGTCTCATCATTAGGTATATATCCAAAGAATATAAATCATTCAACCATAAAGACACATGTACACATATGTTCAATGCAGCACTGTTCACAATAGTGAAAACGTGGAATCAACCTAAATGCCCAACAATAGTAGACTGGGCAAAGAAAATGTGGTACATATACACCATGGAATACTATGCAGCCACAAAAAAGAATGAGACACTGTCCTTTGCAGCAACATGGATGAAGCTGGAGGCCATTATCCTAAGTGAACTAAAGCAGGAACAGAAAAACAAAGTATTGTGTGTTATCACTTATAAGTGGGAGCTAAACACTGAGTACATATGGACACAAAGAAGAGAACAATGAACACTGAGGCCTTCTTGATGGTGGAGGTAGAGAGGAGGAGGAGGATTGAAAAACCACCTATTGGAAATGAAATTAAAGCAGAAGTCAAGAAGTTGTTTGGAACCACTGAGAATAAAGAGATAACATTCCAGAATCTCTGGGATGCAGCTAAAGCAGTGTTGACAGGGATATTTATAGTACTAAACACCCACATCAAAAAGTTAGAATGATCTCAAATTGACACCCTAACATGGCAACTAAAAGAACTAGAGAATCAAGAGCAAACAAACCCCCAAAAGTAGCTGAAGACAAGAAATAACCAAGATCAGAGTGGAATAGAAGGATATAGAAACATGAAATGAATCCAGAAGATGGCTTTTTGAAAAAATGAATACAATAGATAGCCTGCTAGCTAGACTAACAAAGAAGAAAAGAGAGAAGAATCAAATAAACACAATAAAAAAATGTAAAGGGGTTATCACCACTGACCCCACAGAAATACAACCATCAGAGAATTCTATAAATACCTCTATGCACATAAACTAGAAAATCTAGAAGAAATGGATACATTATTGGACACATACACTCTCCCAAGATTGACGCAGGAAAAGTTGAATCCCTGAATAAACCAATAACAAATTCTGAAATTGATGCAGTAATAAATAGCCTACCAACCAAAAAAAAGTATAGGACCAAATGGATTTGCAGCTGAATTCTACCAGAGGTACAAAAAGGAGCTGGTGCCAATTATTTTAAAACTGTTTCAAATAATTGAAAAGGAGGGACTTCTCCCTAACTCATTTATGAGGTCAGCATCATCCTGATGCCAAAACCTGGCAGAGACATAGCAAAAAAAGAAACCTTCAGGTCAATGTCCCTGATGAACATGGATGCAAAATCCTCAATAAAATACTGGCAATCTGAATCCAGTAGCATATCAAAAAGCTTTTCCACCAAGATCAAGATAGCTTCATCCCTGGGGTGCAAGGCTGGTTCAACATATGCAAATTAATTACATAAACAGAACTAAAGACAAAAACCACATGATTACCTCAATAGACACAGAAAAGGCTTTTGGTAAAATTCAACATTCCTTCATGTTAAAAACTCTCAATCAACTCGATCCTGATGAAACATACCTCAAAATAATAAAAGCCATTTATGACAAACCCACAGCCAATATCATACTGAATGGGCAAAATCTGTAAGCATTCCCCTTGAAAATTGGTACAAGTCAAGGATGCCCTCTCTCACCACTTCTATTCAACATAGTATTGGAAGTTCTGGCCAGGGTAGTCAGGCAAGAAAAAGAAATAAAGGATATTCAAATAGGAAGAGAGGAGGCCAAACTGTCTGTGTTTGCAAACAACATAATCCTATATCTAGAAAACCCCATCATCTCAGACCCAAATCTCCTAAAACTGATAAGCAGCTTCAGCAAAGTCTCAGGACACAAAAATCAATGTGCAAAAATCACAAGCATTCCTATACACCAATAACAGACAAACAGAGCCAAATCATGAATGAACTCCCATTCGCAATTGCTACAAAGAGAATAAAATACCTAGGAACACAGCTAACAGGGGAAGTGAAGTGAAAGACTTCTTCAAGGAGAACTACAAACACTGCTCAAGGAAATTAGAGAGGACACAAACAAACGGAAAAAACATTCCATGCTCATGAATAAGAAGAATCAATATCCTGAAAATGGCCATACCGCCCAAAGTAATTTATAAATTCAATGCTATTCCCATTAAACTATCATTGACATTCTTCACAGAATTAGAAAAAAAATTTTTTTAATTCATATGAGACCAAAAAAGAGCCCATATAGCCAAGACAATCCTAAACACAAAGAACAAAACTGGAGACATCATACCACCAGACTCTATGCTCCAAGGCTATAGTAACCAAAACAGCATGGTACTGGTATAAAATCAGACACATAGACCAATGGAACAGAATGGAAATCTTAGAAATAAGATATCACATCTACAACCATCTGATCTTCTAAGAACCTGACAGAAACAAGCAATGGGGAAAGGATTCTCTATTTAATAAATGGTGCTGAGAATACTGGCTAGCCATATGCAGAAAATTGAAACTGGACACCTTCCTTACACCTTATACAAAAATTAACTCGTGACGGATTAAAGACTTAAATGCAAAACCCAAAACTATAAAAACCCTAGAAGAAAATCTAGGCAATACCATTGAGGACACAGGCATAGGCAAAAGTTTTATGACTAAAACACCAAAAGCAATTGCAACAAAAGCAAAAATTGACAAATGGAATCTAATTAAACTAAAGAGTTTTCTGCACGGCAAAAGAAATAACATTTGACCCAGCAATCCCATTACTGGGTATACATCCAAAAGAATATAAATCATTTTGGTATAAAGATACACGTGCATGTATGTTCATTGCAGCACTATTCACAATAGCAAAGACGTAAAATCAACCCAAATACCCATCAATGATAGACTAGATAAAGAAAACACGGTACATGTACACCATGGAATACTATGCAACCATAAAAGGGAATGAAATCATGTCCTTTGCAGGGACATGGATGGAGCTGAAAGCCATTATCCTCAGCAAACTAATGCAAGAACAGAAAACCAAACACCATATATTCTCACTTTTAAGTGGCAGCTGAACAATGAGAACACATGGACACAGGGAGGGGGCAACAACGCTGGGGCCTGTCAGGGTGGTGGGGAGAGGGAGAACTAATGCATGTGGGGCTTAATACCTGGGTGATGGGTTAATAGGTGCAGCAAACCACTGTGGCACACATTTACCTATGTGACAAACCTGCGTGTTCTGCTTATATATCCTAGACCTTAAAATTAAATTTCATTAAAAAGACAAAACGAAACAGAAAAACACTACCTACTGGGTACTGTGCTTGTTACCTGGGTGGTGAAATAATCTGTACACCAAACCCCCACGACGTGCAATTTACCTCCTGTACAACCCTAAAGTCCAGCGGCTGCGTCCTTTTGTAGCAGGCAAGCATGGAAGTGGGACAGGAGGCGGAATTCGATACTGGCTGTCTGCCGCCTGAGCCCTAGGCTAGCCACCATGTTGCAGAGAGCCCACTCCTCCATCAGATTAAAGACTCCTCTCTCATATTCTCCCAAGTTCCAATGCCTCATAATTAGTCCCATGCAAAGGAAGCTCAGCTTCCAAAAGTCTCGGTCTCTGCCCGGCAAAGAAGACCTTGCTTTTACCACATATAAAACAGTTTAGTTCAATAGCTCTCAATCTTGACTACACATTAGAGTCACCTGGGAAGCTTTTACAAAATCCCGGTGATTGAGCTGCACCTGTGGAGAGCCTGATTCGCATGTTCTGAATTGGGGCCAGAGTATGGCTTATATTTGAAAAGCTGTCCATGTAGTTTAATGTGCAGCGGAGTAAAGCAGTTCCAGCTTCCTTGCTCATTGTTTTAGCTTTTCCATTCTAGTATGAGATTATATTCTTTTACATAGCAAAAGACCTAATCATTTCTTTTTTTCTTTCTTTCTTTTTTTCCTTGTCACACCACTGACTGAAGTAAAACAACACAGCATGCTACCACTTCCCCCAAAAGCGGTGTTTCCATTCTCCCCTTTCTTGATGGCTCACTAGATCATTAGCCACAGCCCCATTGAGTGCTTTTAAAAAGGGAGCTAATCATTTCTTTCACCCACCAAAAGGGAATCCCAATTTATGACCTTTAACAAAACAAATAACAAGCAGAAGCTTTGACATTATTCATTTTCCTTAAAGGCTGCAAAGACCCCCAGATCAAATCTGTAGGCTGGGTTCAAGGCCAAGGGCCTAAGTTTTTTCCACGTTGGGAGCTTGTCCTAACCCACAGAGAGACCAGTCCCTATATAGGTCTAGGATCATGGTAGTGGGTTGAATCTCAACTCTCTTTTCTAGAACAAACCTAGGGAGATAAGATTTTTCCAATTTTTATACTTTCCTGATTCACTGCAGCAAACACTTCCATCTCTTTATTTCACTGAAATTTCATCTAACTTGGCCAGAATGATGCCCAATACATCAAATATCCGTCCTCATCTCTATTCTCTTGCTCAATTTCATTTCGGCCCGCCCCCAGGCTCAGCACTTGGCTCTGAACTTTATCTCTTCTCCATACTTCCTCATATAAGAAATCGTGGTGAGATCTTTAGCAATTTCACCACCCTTTATTCTAAGAGTTGTGCTCAGTGCTGAGGATACAATGGAGAGTTCATACCGATGTAGTCTTGGCCTCAAAGGGCTTATACTCTAGTGGGAAGGGACAAACTTCTTCATAAATGGCAATTGTTATAAACACAGGCTGCCTTAAAAAAAGAGGGTGGGGAACAGATATCTGTAAGAACATGTAACAAAGGGATGTGTCAATTTTCTGAGATAAAGGAAGCTCCAGCGTTTAAGCTGGGATCTAGAAGACGAGTAGGTGAAATTGGCAGGTGGAATGGCTTTGGGACTCCTCAGTTGGCTGGTGAACTCCTTGAAGAGAGACATTGAGTCTAGAACTTTCGTTGTACCCAACCTTCAGCGTCAAGCTTCAGAAGCTTGGCAAGTATCTATTGATAGAAGATTTTCCAAATAGCAAAACACTTCTGAGATGATTATCTGCCCATCCAGCACATCTCCTCTAGATAGAGGAACAGATCCTCTCCCTCCAAATGAATGACACCCCTCACCCCAATCCCTCAGCCAATTCCCTGTGGAAGACAATTGTCTCCTATGCCCTGGGCCATGGAGAATGTTTCCAGGATAGGAAAGTGATCAGGCAGGGCCCAGCATAGCTTTTCTCTGGAATTTCTCCATTTGGAGTTGAAGGGACAAGAAGATAAAAAAATATGAAACTGAAGCAGCTGGTGACCCACCCCCTTCTCTGCCACATGGAAAAATCTCATCTTTTTTTTCTTTTTTGAGACAGGGTCTCGCTGTTGTCGCTGGAGCTGGAGTGCAATGGTGCGATCTTGGCTCACTGCAATCTCTGCCTCCCAAGTTCCAGCAATTCTCCTGCCTCAGCCTCCCAAGTAGTTGAGATTACAGGCACCCACCATGATGCCCAGCCAATTTTTGTATGTTTAGTAGAATTGGGGTGTCACCATGTTGGTCAGGCTGGTCTCGAACTCCTGACCTCAGGTGATCCACCTGCCTCAGCCTCCCAAAGTGCTGGGATTACAGGTATGAGCCACCGTGCCCAGCTGAGAAATCTCATATTTCATCAGTGAGAATAACAAAGAGAGATCAGAAAATACGTCATAAAGATGAGGTAGAGTTCTGAAGTATTGGGGTCCAGTTCCAATCCAGGTGCCCTTGGAGTTTCCATGATTCCTACAAGACTTGGTTTAATGTTGTGAGCTACCCCAGTTATAGGATTCACAGTTCTCCTCATTTCAGACAATTTGAGGTGAGTTGAGATTCCACCTGTTTCAACTGACAGAATCCTGATGAACTTGGCTCAACTCCTGTTCATAAACAGATTTTTTTTCTTTAAGTACTGGGATACATGTGCTGAACGTGCAGGTTTGTTCCATAGGTATGCATGTGCCATGGTGATTTGCTGCACCTGTCAACCCGTCATCTAGTTTCAGCCCTGCATACATTGGGTATTTGTCCTAATGCTCTCCCTCCACTTACCCCCACCCCCTGACAGGTCCTGGTATGTGATGTTCCCCTCCCTGTGTCCATGTGTTCTCATTGTCCAAATCCCCCTTCTGAATGAGAACATGGGGTGTTTGGTTTTCTGCTCCTGTGTTAGTTTGCTGAGAGTGATGGTTTCCAGCTTCATCCATGTACGTGCAAAGCACAAGAACTCATTCTTTTATATGACTGCATAGTATTCCACAGTGTATTGTGCCACATTTTCTTTATCTAGTCTATCACTGATGGGCATTTGGGTTGGTTCCAAGTCACAGACTTTTGAGAGGTCTAACTTGTCTTTAATTAGTAGCCAAATGAGTGTCCAGGATTTATTATAAGCCAAATTAACAAAGAATATGGCATTGGGGCTATTGAGATGAAAAAGAAGTAGGTACTTCTGTTTGGCACAATCAGTAAAGGGAACACCCAAGAATTAGTTATAAAACAGTACGGCAAGAACAGTGACAAAATTACGTACAGGATACAGTAATCTACTATTCCATCATAATTCCAATTGCATCTTGTCATTTGTATGTTATGGAGAGCTAGTTTTTAAATGATGTTTGTCCTCTCAGTTTTTTAAGCGTGCAAGTGGAATATACATTTTAAAATGCATGACGCTTTAGAAAAATAAGCCTGACAATTGACCTTTTTCATTCAACTGTGTGCCCATTTTGATGATTAATTTTAGGTGTCAACTTGACTGGATTAAGGAATACACAAATAGCTGGTAAAGCATGATTTCTGGGTGTATCTGTGGGAGTGATTTTGGAAGAGACTGGCATTTGAATCAGTGCACTGGGTATAGAAGATCTGCCTTCACCCCCTGGAAGTGAGCATCATCCAATTGGCCGATAGGCCAGTTAGAACAAAAATGCAGAAGAGAAGCGAATTCTCTCCTCTCTTTTGGAACTGATACACATTAGAACTCTGGGTTCTCTGATGTTTGGACTGGACTTTGGTATTTGCACCAGTGGCCTCCTGGGTTTCTCAGGCCTTTGGCTTTGGACTGAGATTTACACCATCAGTTTCCCTGGTTCTGAGGCTTTCAGACTTGGAATGAGCCACACCCCCAGCTTTCCTCATTCTTCGTCTTGCAGATGGCCTATCATGAGATGTCTCAGCCTCTGTGACCCTGAGAGTCAATTCCTCTAGTAATCGCTCATATATATAAAGTCATACATTGTTTAACGATGGAGACACAGCCTAAGAAATGTGTCGTTAGGTGATTCTGTTGTTTTGCAAACATCACAGAGCGTTATGTACACAAACCTGGGTGGGAGAGCTTCCTATACTCCTAGGCTATATGGTATGGCCTACTGCTTCTAGGCTACAAACCTGTAGAGCATGTTACTGTACTGAATACGATAGTACTAAATACCGTACCATAAGCAATCGCAACACAGTGGTAGTTTGTGTATCTAAACATAGTTCAACATTAAAAAGGTGCAATAAAAATATGATATAAAAAGACAAAGAATGATACACCTGTATAGAGCCCCTGGGGAACCACTGTTGTATATGCAGTCCGTCACTGACCGAAACATCATTATGTGGTATACAGTATATGTACAGTATCGGTTCTGTCTCTTTGGGGAAAATTAACTAATACAACTACTTATAATTTTGAATCAGGCAGCCAATCACCATACCTTTTTCTTTGCTATAGAGTAACAAATTATTTTAGAACAGGAAAGTTCAGGAAACATATTTGGTATAGACTAAATTTTTGTGCTTCCCCAAAATATTCATAAATTGAGACCTAATTCCCAATGTAATGGTATTAGGAGGTGGGACCCATCCCTTCCACCTTGAAATACACTTGATCTTGGACTTCCCGACCTTCAGAACTGTGAGAAACAAATTTCTATTGTTTCTAAGCTACCCAGTATTTTTGTTTTAGCAGCCTATATGGACTAAGAGAATATGGTTAGAGCAGGAAGTTGAGTAAACACATTGTTGCAAACCTTCCCCTCCTTTACCACGAATAGATTGATTTTTCTGCTTTCTTCACATATTTTCAACCCTTTCACTATTTTCCTCGGCCCCTTCGCGGGTTGAATCAAATCCTCTCTGAAACAGAATGAACTAGGACCCGAGGCTGTAATTCAAGATAAGAAGAGCATCCTCTCCGGGTGGATCATGAGGTCAAGAGATCGAGACCATCCTGGTCCACATGGTGAAACCCCGTCTCTACTAAAAATACAAAACATTAGCTGGGCATGATGGCGCGTGCCTGTAATCCCAGCTACTCAGGAGGCTGAGGCAGGAGAATTGCCTGAACCCAGGAAGCGGAGGTTGTGGTGAGCCGAGATTGCGCCATTGCACTCCAGCCTGGGTAACAAGAGTGAAACTCCGTCTCAAAAAAAAAAAAAAAAAAAAAAGAAGAGCATCCGCTCTTTGCTTGTGATTCCTCTATGGGTATGTTCAGTGCCAGCTGGGGGTGCTAGACAGCACTGAGACCAACCAGGGGAGTACTGAGGAGAGCACTCAGCCTCCTGTAGCCTGCGTGGCCTGGGGCAATTAACCAGCCTCTGTGGATCTCTATTTGCTTATCAGTTAAATGGGGATGATAATATTACCTTCTCACAGGGTTCCATAGTGTCTGTTGAGTAGTAGTGGCCAATGAATGCCAGCTTCCCTCTTTCTATGGTACTGGGTCTGGCGTGGGTTGCATGCCAGCATGATGTCAGATCTCCCTCTGTTCTGGGCACAGGGAAGTCTTTCACAGCCCGAGATGTGGCCATTTATATACCCCCACCCCCCAGATTATCTCATTTATTCATTTTGAAGTTAGTTTTTACTTTAGATGGATCATTTTCTCTTTGGTAAAGGTGACTTTGAATTACATTTATTTTCCCCAATGTGTTAACAACAAGGCTCGGTGGAGTAATCAACAAGCAATATAAAAAAAGTTTGAAACTGTTTTCATCCACATAATAAGAATTAAATCATTTCAACCTCTGTATCATTGAGTACCAATCAGCAGGATCCTCCAGGGTGACTTTCAGCCAGCT